CTGTGACCTTTTGAGTTTTCTGCAGCCACGTGTAGGAGTGAAAGAGTAGAAATGGACGGAGAGCCAGCTGGACGCTTTTTGTGATAGGGCCACGCTCTATCAGTCCACAACAGTGGTTGCCGACAAGTGTTGGATGAAGGGAAAAAAGTGAGTAAGAGAGATTTTATTCCCTTCCCTTCTCCTGGGACCCACGCCACAATTCTGATTAGTTAAGAGTACATGATAATCTAAAAGAAAAGTTTTTCCTGGTTCAGTTGCCACCAGATGGGGCTGGGAGGCTGGCCGTGGATTGAGATGCTTTGATTGAACCCAGAGAGGGTTCTGTGTTCTGAGACTGCATCCTTAGTGCTTTTCATAGCTCCTTCCTCCAGAATCACAAGGGGCCTCTTTTGAATGCCAGCAGCTGGGGCCTCCAATGGACCAGGGCTTCATGGATGGCTCTGGTGACCTAGAACAAGGGTCTCCAAACTTGGCAACTTGAAGACTCGTGGACCAACTCCCAGAATTCCTCAGTAAATTCTGGGAGTTGGTTCACAAATTCTCAGTGAGGAATTCTGGAGTTAAGGTCCACAAGTCTTAAAGTTGCCAGGTTTGGAGACGCCTGACTTAAAAAATAAGGCTAGTTGAGTCCTTTATCAACTCTAGTCTGAAGGCTCTTTGAATCTTCTTGTGAACTTAAAACAAGGTGAAGGGGGGCTCTGATTATTGTTCTGCAATTTAAGTTCTTGCTGAGGGGTTCCTTGGCAAGTAAAATAGAAATGCTTTTCGGAATGGAGAAGGGGCGTGTCTCTCTTCAATCCAGGCCTCAGTGTTCCTTCTGCAGAAGTCGGTGCCACTCTTTCTCCATCTCCATTACCAGGATAGGTTTGATTCCATTGACAATGGTTTGGGGCAGTTGAGATCCCCTTTCCAGACTGGCCAATCCTTATCCAGAGTCGTTCATTCCTCCTTCCCCCATCCTGCCTCAAGATCTGTCTCGCTCGTTGCATCTGGTATATGATAGGGAGTTTTCCAGGACCTCTTGTGATTGCAAGTAATTGGTCTAGATCTCAGCTCTTGCTTGGGGAAAGAAAAAGTCAGTCCATCTGTCAGACCCAGTTCCCAAAGCCCTCAAGTTTGCTGAGCTCCACTTATGGTTGAGCACTTCCGATGGATTTGACACTCAGAAAACAGCAGGATGCCAGCGCTGTAATTCCAGGGAGGAAGCAAAGCAGGAAGACTAAAACAAATGCAGATTAATTTGAGTGTTTCTGTGCATAAGCATTGGCCACAGGGGGCGAGAGGGGAAAGGGGGATCAGGAGATAACCTGGTTCGTCAGCTAAACTTTCCTAGTAATTGGGAAAATGCTGGTTTTCAAATCTGCCAGGCTCTTCAGAATGGCTTGGTTAAACGGTCTCGTGCCAAATGCATCTGTAACAAGAGGGATCTCATTTGTGGCTTGGTCTCTTAACCCATGTTATATTCCAATGTGTACATCCTTGTTCCTGCACGTACCCACCTATACATACAGAGGAGAGAGTGAGGCATTCGTAACATGTTTGAAGGGGACTCCCTGGAATTCTGTAAGAAAATCTGGAGAGGAACCTCCAAAGAAACCAAACCAGGAACGGCTCTTTGAGATCTCCAACTGAGAAATAGCCTGCTGCCCAGCCCATGGAGAGGGGCCAGGCCCACCTCACATGGCGTCCTCATCCTCGTACATGTTGCAATGATCAGAAGAGGTTGAATTGTTCTCAACAGCCGCCTCCTAACGTCTTCCACTTCCATGGGAAAAGGCTCATCCATCCCTCAAAGGGTCATCGTTCTCCAAGGCTTCATGTCAGGACAGAGACCCAAAGAGGCCATTCAGGCTCCCCAACAGGTGGGGAAGGAAAAGAGGCAGGCACATCTTTCTGGGGGGTTTAGTGAAGTGGGCGCCAGCCCCTTGCCAAGGCTGGGTCTCTGCACTTTCAGAAGGAGGCCCAGCCACCAGAGGGCAGACTTGCCCCTTACAAGCCAGACCATGGCTCTCCATCCTTTTTCCCTTCATTCCTCTCCTTTGGAAGCAACTCATCCAATGTCATCGTACTGAGGAAGCAGCCCTTTCACTCCATTTATTGATTGATCCTTTCAGGGTCGTTTCTCATTTTTGTTCCCTCTCGCAGTGTCCCCTTTCAGCCCCCCTTTTCCCCCTCCATTCAATAGATGAACAAGATTTTGCAAGGACTAAAGTATTATGTCTCTCCTAAGCAGTTCCAGGGTCCGTTTGTTCCCCAAGTTATTTTGGGATAGTCTTTTCAGGAAGCCAAAAGGCAGCTCAGGTGCTGGGAAGGAGAGCTCATCCTTCCCTGCCTTTGTCTGCAGTAACCCTGGCTCTGCCTTTAGGCATGCAAGGAGTGTCTCTTGACCATGTGAAGGCTGCATCTTCAGTTTCTGTCTACACCACAACATGCCTCCCCTCGAGCAACACTCTTCCCCCAGCTCCCTCTTCCCTTATCTAATGCTGGCAGGGGAATTCTGTGAGTTGAAGTCCACACATGGCCAAGGTTGAAAAACCCTGTTCTGGAGCACAAGAAGTCCTGCTAGGAAGTTGGGATGGGGGTGGCTGTGCACCAGCTCACCAGCTCCAATCCTGGCCTAACCATTGCTGTCAGTTGGGTTTGGCCAATGTTCAGCCATTTTCTCCCCCTTCTTTCTGTGCCTTAGGATAGTCCCCTGCTCTGCCAATCTGCTCTTCCCCTTCCATGCTCCCCCCAAATCCTCCCCATCTTTCTGCATCCTTCTTAATATTGTCCCTGATTAATTGGCACTAATACAAATGTACACAGTTCCATAAAAATATGCCATTTTATACACAATAGGGATGGGGATGGCTTGCGCATTATCTCTTCTCTGCAGGCATGTAATTCAGTCTGCGGCAAAACATTCTGTTTATTGGAGTGCAATATGAATCTCTCTACAGACACAGTCAAGCAGGACCAGGCACTCTGATGCATGGGCATCCTTGCTCTTTCTTTCCCTCTCCCTCCCTCCCTTCCTCCCTCCCTCTTTCTCTCTCAAACATTCTTAAACCTGACTGGGCTGCATTCATATAGAAGTGGGAGGGAACATCAGCCTTTCCACCTGTCTGACTGTGCCCATCACGGGGCTGAAGCCAAAATTAAAATGAGCCAATTGCCTCATTTCAACTGAAGGGCTTTCGCTTAAAGCCTTGAGAGGGGCTCTTTGGGGCTCTTCTCTAAATGACTTGGTGAGGGTTCTTTGACTAGTGATAGAATGGCGGTTAGGGAAAAGGATTTAGATTATTTTTCTGGTCATGGAATAGTTTTCTTCTTGTGGTAGTTGTGTATACGGGAAGATCTGGCTCACACAGTTCTCTTGAGAAATCTCTAGTGGTAGAGCAGTTACAATAGAACAGAACAGAACAGAATTCTTTATTGGCCAGGTGTGACTGGACACACAAGGAATTTGTCTTGGTGCATACGCTTCTTACATAAAAGAAAAGATACGTTCATCAAGAATCATAAAGTACAACACTTAATGATAGTCATAGGATACAAACAAGCAATCAGGAAATTATCATTATAAATTATAAGGATACAAGCAACAAAATTGCAGCCATACAGTCATAAGTGGAAGGAGATGGGTGGTGGGAACGATGAGAAGATTAATAGTAGTGCAGACTTAGTAAATAGTTGGACAGTGTTGAGGGAATTATTTGTTTAGCAGAGTGCTGGCATAGAAAGGAAGAGTTTGACCAGCAGCCAGGTAGATGGACTCGAGAAGGTCTATTTACGTGGTTCAATCAGAATAGAGCTGGAAGGGACCTTGGAGGTCTTCTAGTCCAACCCTTTGCTCAAGCAGGACACTCTATTTGAGACAAGTGGCTGTCAAGTCTCTTCTTAAAAACTCCCAGCCAGTTACAAATCCATCTGGTGGTGATGCTGCCTATCCCACATTTTCCTAGCTTACCGAGAAGTAGGTTGGGGTCTACTTTGTCAAATGCCTTGCTGGAATCTAAGCATATTATGTCCACAGCATTTCACTGGTCTACTAATTTAGTCCCTTTGTCAAAGAATTCAGTAAGATTGGTTGGGCATGATCTGTTTTTAACAAACCCCTGGTCTAGATGTCCCCAGGTCTGTTTTTGCATGACCTTTCCCAGTATAGATGGTTGTTAAGAGCCAACACTGACTTCATGCTCCAAGATCCATTAGTCCAGTATTTCTCAACCTTGGAAGCTTGAAGATGGGTGGACTTCAACTCCCAGAATCCCTCAAAGAGCGCTGCTAGCTGGGGGATTCTGGGAGTTGAAGTCCCCCCATCTTCAAGCTTCCAAGGTTGAGAAAGACTGCATTAGTGGATCTCTAGGTGGGCAAGCCAGGCGTTGGCCAGAAGCAGCAGCCACCCACTTCTTCTTCTTCTTCTTCTTCTTCTTCTTCTTATTATTATTATTATTATTATTATTAATTAATTTTATTTCTATACCGCCCTTCTCCCGAAGGACTCAGGGCGGTGTACAGCCTGATTAAAAGCACAAAGACAAACAAAATTGAAAAATAATTAAAATTATCAAATGATAGGCTCCAATGACAGGCACTTCTTGCCCATCTCCGAGTTTGGGTCTCCGCCTGCAGGTGAACACGGGCCAGACCCTCTCAGCCCAAACTCAGAGCATCCCGGCTTGCTCCATCCTGGTTTAACCAGCCAAGGAAGGCTCAGCAAAGGCGCTGCTCAGCCGCAGACTTTCCCCAGGCGCGCGGCCTGTCAATCACCGCCGGCTCCGCCTCCGCGCGCCGCCGGCCCCGCCCCCCTCCCCCCTCCCTCTCTTCCCGGGGCCGCCCTATCCGGTGGGCGTGTCCGCTCCGCCCTGTGAACTGGGAGCTGCCTGGCCGTGGCCACGCCCCCCTTCCCCCCCCCGCCCCGCCTGCCTTCGCCGCGCCAGCTGCCTCCGGGGCTCCATTGAGAAAAAGCGCGCGCGCGCAGAGGGCAGGTCCGGCGGCGGCGTTGGGAGGAGGAGGAGGAGGAGGAGGAGGAAGAGGCGGAGGAGAGCAGCCCGAGCAGGAAAGCCGCCGGCCGGTGCCGGGTGGCCAGCGGGGCGCCGCGGAGGGAGGCAGGCAGGCAGGCAGGCAGGCAGGCGAGGAGGGAGCCAGCGCGGTCTGTGCCCGCCGCCCAGCCCTGGGAGCGCCGGGTGGGCATGAGAGCCGCCCGCCTCGCCCTCGCCCTCGCCCTCGCCCTGCCTCTGCAGCCGCCGGAGGGACTCGGAACCGCCGCCCCGCGATGTCCAGGAGGAAGCAGAGCAAGCCCCGGCAGATCAAACGTGAGCGCCGCCGACCCCTCGCCTTGCCCCCCGCCCGCCCGACCCCTCCTCCGCCTCCTCTTCCCCCTGGCCGAAGTTGGGGGGCTCTCGCCTGGGCGCTCCGGCGGAGGGACCGAGACCCCCGAGCCAACTTTGCCCCCGCTCCTCCTCGGCGAGGCTCCCTTTGGCCGCCCCCCCCCGCCCCAGAAAGCAACTTGAACTGCTGGCTGCCTTCGGGGGGGGGTCCCGTCGGTGCTTCCCGGCCGCCCCTCCCTCCCCGTCTCCCTCCCTCCCTCCCCAGGCCCGGCGGGGGCTTCCTGACAGCTGCCCGGGGGAACCGGGGGCGGCCGAGGCTGGGCAGAGGGGAGGGGGCTGGGGGGGTCCCCGGGAGGCGCCCCCTTTCCTCCGGGCGGGGGGCGTCCTTGGCCTGCCGCTCCGCCTCTGGCCGCTTCCCCGGCGCGATCGCCGCCCCGATGAGAGCCGCGATAAGCCCTTAAAATATTCCTCTCTGCGAGCCCCGTGGAGATAAGATCGCCCTGTCGGGACGGGCTGAAATTACGATCTTATCTGGCGCTTGACTCACTCCCGGTTCTTGCGTTGGGAAGTTTCATCTGGAGGGACTTTTGCAGGCGAGAGAGAGAGAGAGAGAGAGAGAGAGAGAGAGAGAGGAAGGAGGGAAGGAAAGAAAGGAAGGAAGGAAGGAAGGAGCAGCTGCCTCCGGGGGAAGAAGGAGCAGAGGCGTGCGGTGGGACTCCGAAGCTTGCACAACGTGGCAGGGCTTGAAACCTGGAGAGTTGATGCCGCCTTTTAATCGCATCTCCTGCCTTTGCCTGACCCAGACAGAGCCCACCTGAAGGGGGGAGGGCGGCAGCCCGAGTATCCTCCCCACTCCCAGGACGCCTGGAGTCCGGCTTTTCTCTTGGCCGGTCCTGATAAAATCCCCCTTGCAAAGATTGCAGACTGACCCCGAGTTCCTGCTGTGGGGAAGCGGGTAGAGGGGGCTGCGGAGGAAGATGGGGGGGGGGGGAGGACCGGGGTGGCGGTGCCTTTTAATATCAACCAGAAAAACTTTTCCACTGGCAGGTTTGGCTGCTTTTCACAGTCCCTCCCTCCCTCTTTCTCTCTCTCTCTCTCTCTCCTCTTTCCTTCCTGAGCAGATCTCCAGATTGATAAGGCCCAGCGAGATCTCTGGATAGTGCAGCTCCCTCTCACCCCCACCCCCCACCTCACTGATAATGCGTTTTTATCTTCACTGAGGAAATAATTGCCATTCTAAGCTGCATCTACCTGTTTGCCTGCTCAGGTGATTTGTTCGGCTGATAAGACCCAGGCAAACTTTTTTCCTTCTTCAAAAAAATTGGATGAAAGTTCTTCTTGTCCTCCGCCCCCACCCCATTCGGAGCCCCATTAATTTTTCTGGATCTCTGGCTGTTCTTGCAAATTCCTTGCTTCTTCCCTCCCTGGGCTGGTAATGAAATGATTCTCTGCCCTCAGCAGAGATTTGTGTAATCAGGTAGATCTGGTGGATTGTTCTGGGCGGATTAAGATGAGAGATATGGGGGGGGGCACAGTAAAGGTTTGATCCTCTGTTATGTGGGGCGGGGGAAGTGGCCCAACCAGAGGAAAGGGAGGTTTATTTGTCGGCGTATAAATTTAATAATAAATGATACTCTCCCTTCTTCGGTTATGCTGCTGTCAGGCCTGAGCACCTTCTCCCCGGTAGTTCAGTTGTGGAGTTGATGGGCGCCTGAGAACTTCTGGGTTTAACCCTGGCTGGAGTCCCCAAAGAAACAGTTTGCAGATGGTGGTTACCTTAACCATCATCTCACCTGCTTTTCTGAATGTCCACAGTACGCTGAACCTTGTAGTTACATAATAGGTTGATGTATGTTTGCAGAACAGGCTATGCTAAGATGTTGGGGGTTTGGGATTCCGTATGTCAAGACTGACCTGCTTCAGATGTTGCACTCGGTTGCAGCCTGACTTTCCATAAGCCTGGAATAACAAGCCAGCATTCGGCTAAGGGTGTGAGCGGCACCAAAATAATCCCCATGGCTGATGTTTGATGCTTTGGGGACAGAGATGGAAATGACGGGGGATGTGAATCAGCCCTATAGCTCAAGAAAGCTTCTCCTTTTAAGTGACGGAGTTGGAGAAGGTGTTGCTGGCTGTGTGTTTGTGTGCCTGTGGTTGCATTGGCATAAGACACGGAAGCCCCTGGGCAACTGGAGCAGCAGAAGGCCCTGGCTCCTCTTGGGGCCTCGATCCTTCCTTCCCAGCAGGCCTTGTGCTGCTCTCCTCTTTCAGCTCACCTGTCTTTCTCTTTCACCTTTCAGACCTGCTTTGCCCAGCTGCTAGCTTCCTTCCAGCTACATTAATTGGCAGCTCTTCCTTGCCAGTCCTGCCTGGCCGTCTCCGCTTCCGAGGGAGGGGGGCAGAGGTGATCTGGAAAAAGGATGGAGGAGGGGGGGGGCTTTGCTGAACCGGGCAGTTCTGGGCATGAAAGACCCAGCCTCTGGTTTATCCAGCTGTTTTCCGGAAGGGAGAAAGACAAGGACTGGGATTGGGGTCCAAAGAGGGGTAACCCAAAGCAGTGGGGAGAGTGCAGGGGGGGGCTCCATTGTCCCTTCCTGTGAGATGGAAAACAGGAAAATGCACGCGGGGGTGGGGTGGGGTAGAGGCTGGGAAGGGGAGTCCTCATTTTCCTTGTTTGTGTTTCTTGCGTCCATCGGAGTAAAAGCTGCCCCTTCCTTGTTTTGGCCAAAGACCAGAAGGTCATCTTGGTCTCTTCGGTTCAGAGCTGCTGACTTGCTTTGCGGGCTTCCTGGCCAAAGCTCCCCCCCCACCCCACCCCCAGTTGCCCGGTGCTGGATGTGAGAGGCTGATAATGTTGAGAGAATGGGAGATCGTTTTCAGAGGGAGGAAGTCTGCGATGGGCCAAAGCTGATTAGATAAGGATCTGCTGCCGGATTATATTTAACTATTGGTGCCATTTTATTTGAGATGGCGGGTTGGATAGGCAGCTGTTTGTTTGTCCTTGGAGGTATTGTGCCCGGGCTTCCTTGGCTCCTTATCTGAAAGCCCTGAATTCCAAGATAAATATCTTCCAGGCCCTTCCCTTTAGAGATGGCCGGGTGTGCATGTCCAGTTCATAGCGCCCCCCCCCTTGAGATAGAGACACAAATATTTATCTCTTGCTGGTCACCCGTGGAGAAGGCTTCCTCATCTGTCCCAGGCTTTGAAAAGAGCTGTTGGCCCTTGACCAGGGAATCTGTGGGGAGGGTCCGAGCAGCCCTAATTCTGGTCCCTCCTGGAAGGGCAAATCTCAGAAGGCCAGGCAGATGCTCAAAGTTACAACGGCACTGAAAAAAGTGACTTATGGCCGTTTTTCATACTTATGACCATTGCAGCAACCCCATGGTCGTATGATTTACATTTGGATGCTCGACAGTTGACCCACATTTATGACGGTTGCCGTGTCCCAGGGTCACGTGATCCCCTTTTGCAACCTTCTGCCAAGCAAAGTCAATTCACGTAATGACCGGGTTAATAACTTAACAGCGATTCACTTAAGAAACATGGCAAGAAAAGTTGTAAAATCAGGCAAAACTCATTTAACAAATTTCTCACTTAGCAACAGAAATTCTGGGCTCAATTGTGACCGTAAATCAAGGACTACCTGTAGGTGTTTTTAGCCTGTATTTAATTCCCCCGTAATTTTAATTGTTCCTATATAATTGTTTTCATATTGCTATTTTCATTAGCTATAAGCCATCCAGGAAACGAGATGGGCGGCATATAAACTTAATAGTAAAGACATAATAAATCTTCAGCTTCTAGAACTAACTCGCCAGAAGTGTGGTTTGGGGGGTGCTTTCAAGTGAAAAGGGGAATTTGAGGAAGACCAGCTTGGCCTGGCTATGAGAGGCTGGTTAAATCAAGAATTTTGTGTGCAGACTAACAGTTGTAGGATTGATCAAACTCTCCATGCGTGTCTGGTGGAGGAAGTCGGTTCTTCTTGGAGGTGGGTGGTGGGGATTTGGGGCAGGTTTCTGAAATGAGTGTGGTCTCCCTTCCATTCGGCTAAAGCTCACCTGGCTGGCAAATCATTTTTCAAGACATCGGAGACCTGGTCCAGGAACCTGGAGGTTGAAGGACACATGATCCTTGGCATCTTCCTCAAGCAGCTGCCCACGTGAGCCCACAGCCTCACCCGTCTGCTTGGGGCACCCCTTCTTGCCTCCCACCTTCCTCTCTGCTCCCTCTCTCTTTCTGGGGAGTTGAGAGGGTGATAGAGAAAGTAGAGGTGAGGGTGCCAACTGCAGCCCTGGATGGATTCCCAAACACCCCACAATCTCTCCTAGCATCACCTGTGGGACCTTTCAGTGAGAGCAGTGGCCAAGCATCCTTCCAAACCTCTGGAGGGTCTCAGGTGGATTAGTCGAGAGGGTGCTAAAAAGGTCCTGAGACCTCAAGAAGCATCTTCCTGTGGCCGTTTCCCTGCTTCTCTCCCAGGTCCATCCCTGACGCCTCCTTCCTCAAGGCTGGGTGGAGATGGGGACAGTTAATCCCTCTGCCTGGATGAGCTGAATTAGTCCTGCCTGTTGTTCCCTCTGCCTGGGTGCCATTGCTCTGCCCATGCCAGTCCCTCCCAAGAATGGGCTCCACCCTGATCTGGGCATAGAAATCCCCCAATTTATTTCTGGGATGTGGGAAGAGAGTCTCACTTGACGGGACCAAAGGAAGAGCTTCCTGGCTAATTTCTTCCGTGACTTGCGTGGACAGAGTGGGAAGCTGTTGCCCATATGCTGGGTCTTAGCTGTGTTAACTTGCTTGGAGGTCACTGGACCAACTTGGTGACCAGACACACACAATCATGGGCCCTCCTGTGCTGCAGGTAAAGCCAAGGGGCATGATGCCCACTGGCAGTTCGGGCCATTCTTGGCTCTGACCACTGCTCTCCTGAGGGTTGGAAAGAGCTGAGTTGTAGCATTAAAGGCTGGTGGCTACTGGAAGAGGAT